ATTAGGGTTTGAGGGGCCATAAACTTGAAAAACCACCGAAACCTTGAACCCTAAACTCAGTTGACCTCGTGAGCCCTGACATGAAAACCGAAACCCGAAGCACGATCCGGGTTTATGGGGTTCAGTGTTTTGGGTTTCCACGAGGGTCCCCACAAGAGTACAACAGGGTTTCCAGGGTACTTATCACCTTACTTACTAAGTCCCATGATCCTCCAAGTAAGCTGTTTAGGGTTTAGGGTTTATGGTTTAGGGTTTAGGGTACAGGATTCGGCATGAGGTCTTCAGGTTTACCTCAGACATGAGGTTGGTCTCGCGATTTGGGGCGGCCGTGGGCTTAGGGGCTTAAGTAGTTTGGGCAGTTTGGGGGTTTAGGGGGTTTAGGGGCTTTGGGTTTGGGGTTTAGGGAGTTTGGGGTTTAGGGGTCTAGGGAGTTTAGGGTTTTGGGGAGTTTGGGGTTTAGGGCTTTAGGGGTTCAGGGCTTTGCGGGCTTAGGGCTTAGGGTTTAAGGAGTTTGGAGGCTATTTGGGTTTTCAACGTTTGGGCTTCTACTATACACCCTACACCCTAAACCCCTAAACTCTAAAACCTTAAACCCGAAACCCTATAAACCCTGTAAACCCATACACCCGAAACCCTAAACCCCAAAAAGAAACCCTAAACCCCTACATACCCTAAACCCGAGCCCTACAACTTCAACACAACACCCCCCCCCCCCTCTCCGGGGCAAGCCTTCACGTCCCGATGTACCACGCCGCAAGTATGGAGATGGAGAATGGCGCTGAGGGCCTCTCGGGCAGTAGGGCTTTGTAGGGGTGCGGTGCGGTTTAGGGTTTAGGGATTTAGGGTTTAGGGGTCTAGGGCTTTGGGTTTTAGGGTTTAGGCTTTCGGTTGATGATTTTTTCTCCTGCCTTACCCCTTATAAGGAATATGCCATAATTCCCAAAAGCCGTCTCTAGACTGCTAATGGCCGGTCTCGTGTCGAACTGCACCGCGGCAGTTAGGGCTTAGGGCCTTTAATAGGGTTTCAGAGTTTAGGGGTTTAGGGTTTAGGGGTTTGGGCTAGGGTTTTGGGTTTAGGGAACCCTAAACTCTAAACCCTAAACCCTAAACCCTAAATCCCCCAAAGGGCTCTTTGGGGATTTAGGGCCCTTCATGGTTGGGCTTTGGGCCCTCCTTCGGCTCTCCGGTGACAATGCCGCTTCTTGGGCGATTGCAGCTTCTGCAACGACGTGTCGGTGCCAGTCGCGGGTTTAGGGTTCGGTTTAGGGGTTTAGGGTTTAGGCCTGAACATGTTGAGCATGTCGTCGGCCATGAACAAGAAGGTCAACAAACGTCATGTAATGATTCGAGGCTACACTGGACGATGTTACAAACAAACATCACAGATTCTCGCGCCCTAGACCCTCAACCCTAAACCGCGCTGAAGCTGGTCAATCCTTGAGAAGAGTGTCTTTTGGCGCCGCAGCAGTCATCTTGCTGTATGCCTTGCATCTGTTTCAAAAAAGTGCGATCCGAGATGCTTGCGCTCTGAGGTCTCACGCACGGGCCTTCATAATTAGAATAAGGCTTTAGGGTATCTTATACTATAATCATGAGAAGGAACCTCACCAAACTAGTCTTGGCAATTATTTAGGCCCCCTATAATACTATGTCCTGCTGCTGCACTGCCACACTTCTACAAACCCTGGATCCCTCAATGCTCGAAGACCTTCGCGCCCTGAGCCTCAGAACCGAAACTCCAATCTAGCGGCCGAAATAAGTAACCATACTATTTTGGGGGGCTCCTTATGAGAGCTATTATGTAATGGGCCCTAAAAACCCTCTTCTAATGATTAAAGCCCCTATACCTAAACCCCTAAGCCCTAAACCCTAAAACCGTTCTGTATTACATAATGGGCCCCTAAGACCCTCTTCTAATGACTAAAGCCCCTATACCTAAAACCCCTAAAGCCTATACCCTACAACCCTTCTTTATTTTATAATGGGCCCCTAAGACCCTCTTCTAATGACTAAGGCCCCTATACCTAAAACCCTAAACCCTAAACCGTTCTTTATTATATAATGGCCCCTAAGCCCTCTTCTAATGGTTAAAGCCCCTATACCTAAAACCCTAAACCCAAAACCCTATACCCTACAACCCTTCTTTATTACATAACCGGCCCTGAGACCCTCTTCTAATACTCATTAAGGCCGCTGTAGTACCCCTAAACCCTAAACCCTAAACCCTAAGACACCCGGAAGCCCTAACCCCTAAACCCTAAACCCTAAAATCCTAAACCCTAAACCCTAAACCCTAAACCCTAAACCCTGAACCCTAAACCCCTGAACCCTAAGACACCCGGAAGATCCGATCGATCCGAAACGCCTAAAGACTGGCGCAGCTCGAAGGTGGACCGACCCCCCCGGTTCTCCGGCTTAGGGCTTAAGATTTAGGTTTTAAGATTTAGGGTTTAGGGTTTGAGATTTAGGGTTTAGGGTTTAAGGGGTTCAGATTTAGGGTTCAGGGTTTAGGGTTTTAGGGTTTAAGGTTTAGGGTTTAGGTTTAGGGTTCTGCTGGTTCATGCAACTGGGACCCGAAAAAAAATGCTACAGGCTTTTAAAGAGTTGTATAAAGAGGCCACACGCCAAAAACCTGAAAGGGCATGGTATTTGAGATTTAGATGTGGATACTACCGTGGGAAGCTAGTATAAGCGCCTTCATAATTCGAACCCGGCTCTGGGATATCTGAGACTATGGTGAGAATGAGGCGCCCTGAGGAACAAGACTAGCAACTGTTCCCAAACCCTAGAAAACCTCTTTAAAACCTCTACAAGCACCATGAAACTCTCACAGTTCGAAATTACCTCAACCCCAACGAACCTACGTTTTTGCAGGTCTTCTATCAGGAAATCATGACAGGGAGCCCTACAGATGTAGGTTTTATAGTGTTCAGGTAACCTATCTATGTCTTATTCTCGTGCTTCAGCCAGGAATCCCATTGTAGGGATTGAGTTCAGGAGTTTAGGGGTTTAAGGGGTTCTAACTTTTAGAGTAGAGTTTTGGTGTATATTGTACTATAGTTATAATAGTTATAATAAGGAGCCCCAAAAATAGTAGTGGTAATTGTTTAATGAGGCCCCTATTTAGAGCTTTCCTTATGTGGGGTATCCAATGAACTATGTTCCGCACCTGCGAGGTTCTTGAAAGGGTTGAAACAGTGACAGGCCGTGCCATCGGCAAACCTAAACCCTAAACCCTAAACCCTAAACCCTAACCCTAAACCCTAAACCCTAAACCCTAAACCCTAAACCCTAAACCCTAAACCCCAAAACCCAGTGGGCCTGGTGAGGAGCTCCTAGGGCGAGGGAGGTCTCAGCGCTGAAGCGCAAAGCGTTGTCTCCATGGTCGCCGTGTTTGAATTAGGGCCCTTTTTGGTTTAGGGTTTAGGGTGTAGGGTTTAGTTGATCCGCTTTTGGCTGCAAGTTGCGTTGGGCGGTGTTCCGGCAGTGTGTGCATGGCGTTGCGTCCGATGAAATTCACCTGCCTAAAAGCTTCAAGTTAATGATACCGCTGTGGTCGTGGTGCTTTCGAAGCTTGCCGTGCCGAGCCTGCAGGCAAGACCAGCGATGCGGAGAGGCTTGCAGCAAGGGGACAATGCCTTCCTTTCAGCAAGCAGCTTGACAGTGACGCGCAAATCCAGTTCACACCCAAGCAAGAAGTATCCGGCCTGAGATATCTCGATGACGTAGTCACCAGCTCTTCTGCAGGTGGTTCTCGAAAGCCATATGGGTGGCAGAAGAGTCTGGAAAAATGAAGGAGGCTCAAAGGGATATTGTCACTTACTGTTATGGGATTGAAAAGACGTTAACTTAGATCGTCTTCGTATCACCATCAGCATCTTTCCGCTCTGTTTGCTGTTGCCATCATCACCATCATCATCACCAACACCATCATCATCATCACCACCACCACCATCATCAACATCATCATCA